GCCATCCAAGTGGGCGATTGGCACGCTGAGAAAGTAAACGCAAAGCTACCGCAGCCTGGCGCTCTACAAGAAGAAGCCCCTCTTGTCTCAGTTCTCCAATATCCCGCTCTACTTTAGCTCTACGCACATCATCAACTCCGACTGACTTTGAATGAATAGAATCGAGTTTACTATGCGTCATCACCCACCTCGATGAATGATTTCCAAATGACACTTAAGATAATCGAGCGCGTCTATTACCTAAAACAATATGCAGACATGATCTTCTTAGCTGTTTTAGTGCAAAGACAACATACAGAAACAGCAATGTGGCCGATCACATTTTCTTCGAATCGAGCAAGGTGGACATTATAGACTCTTTTGTAAAGGATGTCTAGCGATATATCCATGAGTTCCATGCAAATCCAACAGTCTCCCTAAACACAAGAAAAATTAAAAAGAAATACCAAAGCAAAACAATTCTGTAGGGTCACCATCGATGGATTCGAAAAATGGACTTCAGAGTAGCTTGAAAGCGTGCGTGCACAAAACGCTACTGAGTGACTTGCGTTTATTGGTGTCTTATTTGACAAAAAATATTACAATATGTATCACTCTCATAGAATGCCTATGCTAGTGGTGCTGTCATCACAAGCCATCAAGGACAACATGGCAAAGCCAGTGCGCGCCGTAACTGTTTACGGATAGCAACTGGATTTACGAGATCAATATGGTGATGACCTTAGTTTGATTTTAAAGATTTGCGGTAGTCGACTTCTCACACAGAGGAACCAAAGAACAGAGGTTTTCATTGTTCATGCGTCATTCATCATTGCGAGGTTAACAAAGTGTCGCTCCAGTCAGTCGCGTGGGAAAGCCATGAATTATTCGAAGATATTTATGAAAATGCTAACAAAAAAGATTGCACGCATCTTCTATGGCCCCGTCGCCATGTTGATTTTGATTTTGACGGTCACGTGAACGAAAATGAGGGAGGTCTTACGGCTTTCGGAACTTTTTTTTTACCAATCAGCTCTTCAGAGAATTCAGTGAAGTGTATAGTTTAAGGGCGCGACCCAGGGTTACGCACGCTCACTTGTTCCATCCCCAACCGAAGCAGATAAGCGGGCAAGCGTTGATGCCGCGCCCCTTTTGGGTCTCAAGAAGGCATGACAAAGGGCTAGAAGCTCACTCTATCTGCAATTCTCACCTTCGTCCGCAAGCTCTATTTTCCGCTATCGGCTATCAGTGACGCTGCGAGAAAAGCGCGATCACAACTGCGGTAGCGATAGCATTGCGAGTCAATGTCATTGGCGCTGGCTCAACTAGGTCTCTTCCGACACGCCCCTTCTCTATCCCAAGGTGGAATGCAGCTGAATAGAGGAGGTACTTATTCGAGGCATTATGAGGTATGCTTTTGCTTTCGTATCTTTTCCAGACCCCCCCCCCCATACACACACACCTCCAGCTCCATTACTGAACGCTCTTAAACACCCATTTTCTCCCGGGGCTTACCTTAAAGGGATAGAGAGGTAGCCAAAATTATTCATATTCTTAACACCGACCTGCAGAGATACCTTCTACGACAATTTACCGATCTATTAAGGGGAGAGAGCGGAGATTTTCTTAGGAACGACCACATGGCAATCAATCGCAAAGAACACACAGGGAGAAGACTCACTTCGTGTAAAATAGCACCGAAAAACTTCACAATGTTTGAGCATTGCTCTGAACGCATGATGGTATCGTGTTCTCGTATTATCTTTTCTTGATCACGACTGTTGACATTGTTGCAACGGATTCGCTGAAGAAGATAAAGACAAGACATAAAAGACAAAAAACAAGAAGAAAACATTCTCTATCGAATTTATCAAACTTCAAGACTTCTAATAAGATACCTTCACTGCAATTTCTTTTCCGCTTTGATCGTGAACCATCTTGTAAACTGATCCAAAATTACCACTACCAATCTTGCCACAATCTCTGAGATTTGCCGCTGTGAATGTGAACGTTTTCTCCTCATCAGGAAATTTCAGTATTCCAGTTGAAAGAGCACTTCTGAAAATGAACACGACTGAGTTATCGTAAAGTGTCATTATATCTATGATTTCGAAGGATACCTTTTTTGCGAGGCAACTAGGAAAATTCAATTCTATTGGTATCAAATTATCATTGCACTGTTACAGCTAGGAAATACTCAACATTTTAATACTGAAAGTTCACATGAGGAGGCGGAGTCACTCATATACAGGGTTGCCGCCGAACGCTGAGGCTGGTTTTAGACTAAATCAGGAATCGCGGGGCTCGAGCGATCCACCAGCGATGTGACAGGGTAGTGCTTGAAAGTGTCCCTCTCGCTCGCACGTCGACTCTAGCCCCTTTCCCAAACTCTCGAATCGCTGGTGCACTGTATGTTACTCTTTGTTTGTTGTGGAAAGAAGTCAATATTTGGAATTAAAGTATTCGTAGCCACCGAATAGCTTTGTTGGAGATTCTTATTTTCAGACGACTTTGGGGACCAACGGGGACTTTCTAGACAACCCAGTACTTTGGATGTTGTGCACATTTTGATAGCGTTTGGTGCCAAATCGATGTCATGGCGCAAGACTATGTTGTACAAATGGCCGGTCAGGTTAGCTCAACACTGCAAACTCTTTCGGATAGGGGTTGAAGGAAGCACAGTGAAAAAAATCTCGCCTATTTTCGCCAAACAGTAGTGTAATTAATGACATATTATTTAAATCCCCAATAATCCCTAATGCAGGCCATTTATCAATGTACTGCTCCCAAGAAGCTATTTCCAAGCTTTTTTTAATATTTTTTATTAGTGTTTACCAAGAAGACCGACGATAGGAGAGACTCTTTTGCAGTACGGTAATTCGTATTCGTATTGGATACTGACACCTACCAGGGGAGGATTTCAAGATTCCGCGGAGCTTTGGATGGATACCTAGGTAAGCGGCGTGTCAAGAATATGTAGTAGTCACGAACAGCGAGACCAAATCTGCTACGTCAACGTTCCAATGAAGATGTGAGTGGTCAAGTTTTGCAAGACATACAGGCGTGTGGTTAAAAAAAGCTATGGCACCCTATTACATTCATAGCAAAGGTTCTGAGAGACTATAAAATGTTGATGCGGATAGATTAGCTCGCCCCATACACCGAGTTTTGCCAAGTTTGACCGCTCACAACTTGCCTGGAAAGTTCACATCGCAGCTTTGTGATCAGTTTTGTAATCAGCATGCTTGACTGCATCGACTTACCCAGATACATAAACTTCGATGGAAACGTGAAAACGTCCCTGGTTGGTAGTCCTATCTACCGAGTTAGTAACATAGTGGCAGGTAATTAAAACTGATTACAACAAAAATGAGTGAACCTACATAAGCACATTTTCATGCTGTGGTGAAGAAAAGCAAAGTTCTAGTTGAGGGCGATGCAGAACACGACCATCATCCAACATTATCTGAAAGTAAATGCAAAATCACACGTGCAGCAAGTGAAAAGCGGCGCAGAATAAAACGCACAGCAATAGGAGTGGACGTAAAGCACCAACTCGTCATCTACAGTCCGTAGGCCGATGTCAGACTTTGCGAATCGCGTGAATCGCTAGTAGCGAATCGCGCGATTCGCAAAGTCTGACATCGGCCGTATCTGGAAAACTGATTAGGTCTGTCTATGGATATGAGCACTTGATAGAGGTCATGTGAATAAGCTGTTTCCAACACCTCGCTGGATATCAGCAAAGCGTGTTGGGGCAGCTTATCCGTGCACTATCAGCTTCAGCGGAGACCACGTCAAATCCATAGACACATCTAATCAGACTTCGAGATATGGGCTGCACTCACACACTGTGACTCTACGCAATGAGTTTGAAGTAAAAGAAGGTAATAGACCGATGTAGAAGGTTAAGACATCCCGCAAAATTAGAGTGATTCAACTTCCACAAGGGCATCTTATGTCGGGTTACGGGGCAGTGGTCAACCAACGCGTGAGAGTCCAGACAGAAAAGCACATACTTTCTGCTTTCTAGGACTAAGCCTTTGAAGGAAGGAAAGAAAGCAGAGATGCTGTAATAGTGTGCATATGCGAGAGTGCCCAGAGAACACTACAAAACGCTGAATCACCAAGCCTTCCGGTTGACCGCTGCCCTTGGACGCATATGTCGTATCCTCTACCATTAGAATCGTGCCCCCCGGAGGATGCCCGTATCTTGCGCTAGCGCCTGAATAGTAGGCAGAAAGCTGAAAGGTGATTTTCCATCACGATTACAGTAAGCCCGGCTAACCTGTTCCTATCTACAAGACTCGCCTAGGGTGACTTAGTGGATTTCATACGTTTATCTCAAAGCGATCTCGATTCACGACTCGTGTCGCCTAACGCCCCCTCCCCAAACTTCAGCTTACCTCCGTTCATTGGGCGATAGGTACAGCTGCCGTCTCTGCTTGTGTTTGTGTTATTCTATGCAACGCTTATATTGATAGATTCTCCTGTGCACTAAGACAGCGTTATTTTAACATTATGACGACAGCGCGTGTTTTGATTTTTTGGCCGCGTGAGACCGGCCGAGCGCAGTCGCCTCAAATCACATCTGTGAATTTGAGTGGTTAGCACAAAAAACGTGGATGGCAACAAGTAACTTCTACTGTGTTCATTGCGTTTTGCCCTAAAGTAGGGCAGTAGAATTCTGACCAAAAAAGAGCGTTGTGGCGATGAAAAAGCAGAGGAATGGACAACGAAAAATGAAAAACAATTTTACTGGAAACTTCGAAAAGGACCAAACATGTAGGCCCATCGCACGAAATTTCTAGCTCTTTTACGAGAAACTTAAAGGCCCATATTAGACGCCCACTACAACTATCCAATGAGAGCATTCAGAAATTTTGGAAATTCTGTGTTGAAAACTCAAAGGACCAGAAACCTTGGTCTTTTTCATCTGAATCAAATATTTGCATCATCTCTCTTTCGAGAGCAGGTCAGTGCACACTGAGTTCGGTGCGAGCGATGGGAGCTTCTTCTCACAGATACTGGGATAGTTCTGGGAGGAATCCGTAA